CACAGCACTCTACCCAGGGGGACAGCTTGAGGCTCTGTCTCAAAATAAATAAATAAATAAATGTCTGGGAACGGTGGCTTATGCCTGTAATCTTAGCAGGGAGGCTAAGGCAAGTAGATTGCCCTGAGCTCACAGGTTTGAGACCAGCCTGAGCAAGAGCAAGACCCTGTCTCTAAAAATAGCTGGGCGTTGTGGCGGGTGCCTGCAGTACCAATTACTCAGGAGACTGAGGCAAGAGAATTGCTTGTGCCCAAGAGTTAGATGTTGTGAGCTATGACACCATGGCACTCTACCGAGAGCGACAAAATAAAACTCTGTCTCAAAAGAAAAATCCAGGTGTGCCGGCTCACACCTAGAATTCTAGCACTCTGGAAGGCTGAGGCAGGTGGATTGCTGAGCTTATGAGTTCAAGACCAGCCTGAGCAAAAGCAAGACCTCCATCTCTAAAAATAGGTGGGTGTTATAGCAGGCACCTGTAGTCCCAGCTACTTGGGAGGCTAAGGCAAGAGAATCGCTTGAGCCCAAGAGTTTGAGATTGCTGTGAGTAGTAACTCTGCAGCACTCAACATGAGGGTGACTGAGACTCTGTCTTTAAAAAAAAAAAAAGGGCAGTGCCTGTGGCTCAGTGAGTAGGGCACCAGCCCCATATACCAAGGGTGGTGGGTTCAAACCTGGCCCTGGCCAAACTGCAACAAAAAAATAAAAAAATAAATAGCCAAGCGTTGTGGTGGGTGCCTATAGTCCCAGCTACTCAGGAGACTGAGGCCAGAGAATTGCCGAAGCCTAGGAGTTGGAGGTTGCTGTGAGTTGTGATGTCACAGTACCCTACCAAGGGTGATTAAAAAAAAAAGGTATAAGGGGGCTTCCATTAGGGTTTGTAAATCTTTAGTTGTAGAAATATTTTTGATATAAACTGCCCCACACTTTTATTTTGAAAAAATTCAAACCTCCAGAAAAACTGCAAGAATAGTACAATGAACACCATATGCTCTCCCCTAGATTCACACTAGTCATTAACATTTTGCCACATTTGTATCATCTGTCTCTTTGCCTCTAATCATTTCAAAGAGAACTGGAGATATCATGACATGTCATACTAATTACCTTGTCAT